GTAAAATAAAGTATGAGCAAAACCTACGAATTTTTTGGAAAAAGTGAGCAGCACATTCTCCCCTTGTCGAATTTTATTTCTCGTGTCTTTAATTGAGTTATCCGCATATTAGCGTAATTTGCTGCAAAGAGTTAAAAATTCGGTCACATTATTCTCGGATGAACCTTGCGTTTTTCTCAGAATTGAACCACTACGTGAAGCAGCAATTGGACGTAGCGAAGAGCTCGGGCACACAGTACGTGAACATATGGAAGCAATGGAACCACTGGTGCAGTCCTCAATACAAGCAGCGTCGATAAGCTACGATACGAAATCGCAGACAACAATCTTTGAGCAATGCAAAACAGTTGTTGAAGCGGAACTGCAAATGCTCTATGGATGTAAAGATGCAGGGGGAAATCCGAAGGTTCGCGACGGTCAAAATTTTCGAGATTTTATACAATAAAAAACATAAATTTCCGAAGTTTTATTAAGATATAAAATATAAAATGGGCAAAATGCTCCAGCAGTGAACAGCTCTCATTCTGAATTTTGTCTTAACGGTACTGACGATGGAATTGTTCGAGCTGATGAGCCCAGTGACAGATCAACTTGTAGGTAGTGAGTTATCGTACTGCAATCAACTAATTCTCTTACTTCACTGCTCATGGTTATTTTCTGTACCTTAATTTAGTGAGAGTTAGTTAAAAATCACTGAGATCAGTCATAATCTCAGTGATTTTTAACAAATTCTCACTAACTATATTGTTAATATTAGTTGCTATGGTCGTTATAACGACGGTAAAAATTTACTCTCGAAATTATCAGTTGACGAAGTTTCGTATTTATATATGAAATACATGCACAACTCGTATATATGTTTGATACAACTTTCAGACTTTGAGTTTTGCATTTTTATACGCAAAAATACGCTCAAAAATACTATTAGTTGCTTCACTGAGGTTTATGTTTTTCAACTTTATATCGCACTTCGCCAGCAAAATTTTTCCTGCGTTTTAGCAAACTGCTCAAATTAAATTTTTTCACCTTTTTTCCAATTTTTTGCACTTTCCTCCGGACAACAGCAGCGGTTGTTCCGTTACAACACCTGCTTATATCTGCATCAGTTTTTCGTACAGTTTATTACATCTGTGCGGTATT